TTCTTGAAACTTCTACAATTTAAAGGTTTTTGGTGTATGTTTCCATGCTCTGATTCAGATATAAATAAGTGAAAAACAAAACTTTGCAAGCTTTCAAAGTTCAGAGCTTTGAATTTTTTGAACAGAAATGTCAAGATTTAAAAGCTTTTTTTTCCAAATATGGCTAGCTTCCGCTATGCGTTATTTTATGAATGCACATCGCTTTTGAACACGGTCATTTCGTTTAAGGCCAATTAGACAAACAGTTTCATCGTCATTTAATAAAAATTTTTCATTGCTGTAACTCTCAGGCGGTACTGGGTGAGCAATAAAATAGAGCCTTGAACATATTTTATCGATATGACCGAAGCTTTAAGATCTGAGTTTTCAATTCTATTTTTTACTGCACTAATTTGTCATAGCTCAATTTAATAGTGTTAAATGATGATTTGGTCGATTCGTCTGTGCTGTACGCCAGTATGAAAGTCTGAAAAAGAAGCTTTCTAAATCAGTTACCAAAAGCAGTGCATAAATATATTAGTAATATGACGAATTACTCAAAAAAAATATTTTATTAAATGATACTCAGAACAGATCACTTTGGTGAGACACAGCCTCTTGAATTTCTTCTATGAGTTAAAATGTTCTAAAAAGGTACGAATTCAATAAATCCTCTCCAAATTTTATTGCTAAAAACCCAGACTTTTGGAAAATTGCTAATGAGAAGATTAATCACAACATTTGCTTATAACATACTGTTAATTTGAAGAACTAACATGCAATAAAAGGTTTTTAGTCTTTCTAAAGTATCCCGACCTATTTGGACCAATTTTAGACGTTTTGCATTTGTCAACCTGAAATACGCAGTAGATAAACGCATGGAATTTGCAAAAATCGGTTTTATTTTTTGCTTTTGCATTTACAATTGTTAATTTGTTTTAAGTGAGAATGGCTCTTGCCAGATAGACACAGCTCAATTGAGATCTTGTAATCTGATAAATTATTTGATTAGTAAGTTGACATTTTTTTAATTAAATATATTTTTTAATGAGTTTTTAAGGTTTCTGTGTTTTATTTCTGCATAACCACATTTTGTTTTTTTTCCATTCAGTTTTGAACTGTTGTTATTATCGGAAAGGATTTTTTGCTTTAACAACAAAGTATTATGTGAATGCGCAAAGTAATGGCAGTTCTCAACAACTATTCAGAGCCTAGTTTATTCCACGCCTACTCCTAATTCTACCTTAAAAAAAAAAACAAGCGAATAAACTGCTAAGAAGTAAATATCTAGCTAGAAAACTATTAAATAAAGTTTGGTAGAAAGTTTCTTGAGATTAATTGAAATTGACAAAGACTTATGCGGATTAATTGTTGTTGCAATGAACGGAAAAGGAAAAAACAAAATTGGTCGAAGAAAATAGTGCCTCATATTCTCTTGCTTTTTTTTCTCTGCCTTAGAAGAGCAGACTAGACATCGTTGGCCAATAAATTCTTGTAACAGTTGGTGCCAATTGTTGGTGTTGCTAAGTGTTTCAAGAAATAAATGCTACTTAAGACAACAATTTGATACGTGTTACATTATCAAATTCTTTATCCAGTTTACTTTAACTGCAACAAGGATTTCCTCAGTTCTTTGAGGAGAACCGTTAATTAAAATGACATTTACCTCGTGGTTCAATTTCGTAAGACACGATAAAGAAGAAAAAACAAAGGTAGAAAAAGGTATTCGATTTGACGTTCTACATTTTATTGCAACGTGCAATCGTTTTAACGTTTTATGGTGTATTCCACTATTTTTATCACCTTCAAAAAAGTCTGCGTTTATTAGTGTGCAACACCACGATAGATGGTAATATCAAATAACTACAATTTGATTAGACTTATTCTATAAACGACTTAATTGAAAGAAGCTTTGCTTCTAATAATAAATTAGGTAAAGTGCTTGCATGAAAAAATGTCTAAAAACTTTTAAAAAACTTATATTTTTAAGTTGCAAACAGTACAGCTCTACAGAACTTTTACAGATCGCTTGACTTCTATTTACTGTGCTGACTTTATATCTATCAGTGATCTGTATATGTATATATGCATAACTTACCTGTACAAAAAATGATAGATTAGAACAGCTTATAGCAAACATTACAACTAAAACCTTAAGAATTGGTAACTTTTCTAGGACCTTAACGTTTTTGGTTTTTTTTCAATAGGGTTAACTGAAGTTGACAGTTTAGCTGAAGAGCTGATGTATGAACTACACGAAACGCCGGTGCATTTGTCTGCGGTGGAAAATGAACATAACAAATGCAAAGTTGTTGCGTGTGTCCTTGGTAGCTTCACCGAATTCATGTATCATTTATACTTCATTAATGTAGTCTCTAAGACTCAGATATCAAAAATTATTTATGGTTCAGATTGAACTAGTAATTTTAAACTGTAAAAAAAGTGTTGGAAATGAGATCATATCAGGAAAAACTGTGTTTTTTTTTGTTTTTGTTAGGTACACCTGCATTGTCGAATATTCGCTTATATGTGCAACAGTCTGTTTTGTATTTTGGACAAATATTGGTAAAGAAATCAGTGCTTACCACAGGGTAATCGTTAATAATAAGAACTTTTTAAAATTAATCATTTATGATTTACAGTACCCAATACATGCAAAAAAAAAAAAAACATTAAAATTTTTAGCAACAGTTTTATTTAGTACCGCTTAACAGCTCGATGATACGTAATACAGACTAAACATTTTTATTTAACTTTAACAAATTTTTTTTGAATAAATTCTTCAAAAAAAAAGCCCAAACGATGAAATATGGATATTTTCAGAAACGACAACTTTTACACAACGTTATTGCTATTGATCTTTCCAGCACAACAACCGGATTATTTTCTGGTTTTGTCTTGGTGGCTGTGACCTTTGTTAGTATCACCATCTTCAATACTTATGCATCTGAACATCATATGAAAAATATAGCTTACATGGTTTGCCTACTATATTCTCTTTTTTTTTTTTTCAGAATTACTGTAATTAGGTGAATTTATGAAATTTGCACAGCATCTTTAAAGCTCTTTTTTCTTTTAGATATACAAAAGACAAGAAAAAAGTGTTCTATGAAATTTACCTATTATAATCAGAAAAATAGACAGAACGACTTGCTAAGTTCCTTTATGATTGTTTTTAAAATTTTAATTTTAAAATCTCAGTAATGTTATGAGAGTACTTGACAGTTTTCTAAACAGCATTTAATTCAATTGTTGTTTTGACATAGCGATCAAGAATTTAAATGTTTTTTAAAACCATTAATGTTTAATAAGGATAATGCTTAAAAAATTGTATCTTTAAACAAATCTATTTAAAATGATTAAGAGGTGTAAAGTCATATGAAAAAATCTTTTATTGAATTGTTAAGTGGTAAAATAGCAATAAAAACGGTCATAAAGACCGTAAAAAAAAATTAAAATTTTCCTGGTAAAATTGGATTATAAAATAACAAGAAAAAAAAATTTAAACAATTTTTTCGCATAACTGAACATTAATACTTTAAGTGATAGAACAAGATGTCAACTTTGATCAGTGAAAAAAAACCCGTAAATCCTATGAAGCTTTTGCTGACCGCAGCTGATCACTTTGAAAAGGTCAAAAAAAAAAAAGAATGCAGAAAAAAAGCAAAATAAAAATTACGAACGTTTACCAGTAGCAGAAGTAATTTCCGGTAAGACGTCAAAAAAATTATAATCATTTTAAAAGCTATTATCAAATTTACATCTCTGAACAAGAAAACATAAAATTTTATATTAGGCTTCTTTTTTTCTTAAGATTATACGTTTTCGTTTACAAATATCACACAATTGTTGATCCTCCGAATAAACAACAGTCAACAGTATTTTCTAAAGAATTTTACAGGAAAATTAGGAAAAGTATACCTTTTTCTGGCTGCAAAAAGTGCCTGTCGTCTCAAATCGTTATTTTATACGCAATTTCTAAAAATTCTTTCTTTCTCCATTGTTTATAAAGAACAAATTTACTTGAGTATTCCTATGCAATAAATTTCTAGGAAAATTTTTTTAGGAAATACAGTTGTAAATGTGTCATTTTCTTCTAAAGCTATTCCTGGTCAGTTTTTTTCAGGTATTAAAAAAGAAAATTTTATTGGTTTTTAGAAAAAAATTTAAAAAGCAACAATTCAGCTATAATGTAAAATTTTTGTTAATCATTAAAGCAATAAGGTTTGCTGCAGAAAAATTTTTTTTTTGAGGATTTATAGTCAAAGAGTAGATAAAATGCAACAACGAAAATTGAATTTTCTTATTATTGCTAAATAAGTGAACTATTTAATAATGAAGGTAGCATTTATTCTTTTCTCTCTAGTTTTTATTCTTGTTCTTTAACTAACAGAACAATTATTAAAATCGTAGCAGTTTTCTGTTGTTTATACCTAGATGGTAGACAGCTGAAATAAAAGGAATTTAACAAGGTTAGAAAACCAATATTAGTGCATTATTAGGGCAACTTTAACGAATATCTGAACTTTCTTTTGTTGGTTCAACTTTTCTAACGGCCAAAGGGTGACGAAACATGCTTGTAAAGCATTCAGCAATTGAACGGCCAATGCTAAAGTTGTTTAAACTTTTGGTTTTAGCACAACAGAAGAATCATCTAAAATACTGTAATTTGTGGTTTTATTATTACTAAGTATTATATGCTTACAAATTTTAGAGAGCTGTATTAGACAACAAAAAAGCTGGATATTAGTAACTACTAAACCTTTGTACAGCACAAAGTACATAACCTGCAGACGTGAAAAGGCATTCAACTAGTTAACCTCAGCGTGGGTGAATAGGATGTCAAGATCATAATGAAGGCTTTAAGCAATAGCTTTAAGGTTACTTACACGATTTATGTTAGAAATCTTGGCTCGGTAATGTTGAAACGAAAGTAAGAGTAGGATAAACAGCCAGGGGTGAGACAGAGTATAAGAGAGAAATGGACAATGGCAAATTTTTTCCTTAGTTAAGAACGATGTACCAAGAAGGATAAGGAAAAGTTCTGGATTTAACAAACTTATTCAATGTAACTGATAAGCGGGTGGGAACATGTTGAGAGCGGTATTATAAGTAAAAATTAACTGTTTGAAAAAGTAGATAAGTTTCTTCAAGAATAGCTCATAATGATTCTTGAAAATGAGTTGCAACAAGGAGCGACAAAAAACGCTATTGCTCTGTGTAAAAAGGCACTCAACGAGCAAAACCTTTTGCAGGTCTTTTATCTTACCACATTATCTTTTGTGGTGATTTGCTTTGCTGCAGTTTTACTCGCGTTTCATCGGATGAGACGACTCAAATTCATAATGGAAGAAGAGGATATTGATGAGGGTGCTGAACTTCTCGACCGTTTACTTTTGGTTTTTGGACTGACGGGAGAGCTGATATTTTGCATTGGTACAGCTTTACCACACAAAGTTCATTATTTATCAAATTAATTTTTTTCATTCAGTAGTATTTCGTAGTTACTGTAACAGACAAACAGCTAATCCTTTTACTTTGATTTATTTTTCTATAGTTTCCTGTACAACTCTAAAAATTGATAGTTTAAATGTTTCTTAACGTAACTTTCTTTTATAGTCTCTTTTTCTAGGCGGAATAATGAGTTTAGCACAATCGCTTGCCAACGGCCTGGTAACTTTGCTGCTTTTTAATAAATGCTTAAGTTTAATACAAGTATTATCCCAATCAGCATTGATACTAATTGGAAGTAAACTAAAGGCATCATCAAAAGAAGCAAAGAAAAAGAAACCTGGGAAACAAGTAATGTTGCTTTGAGTAAATTTAAAAGAGAAAACGAGTTACAGTTTTCTGACTGCTACAGTTTTAGACTATTGTTGTTTCTGAAAGTAGAAATAAAGAAATCAGAAAAACAAAATAAGGAAACCTAACTTTAAAAACTTCAAAAAAAAAGAGTAAAAAATATCAAAATAATATTATTGTGTTTATTTTTTTGCTTTTATTTTTGTTTTTG